GACTGGAAATCTGCGCAGATCACTGCATAAAGGAGGCTGCAAGGCATCTCCAAACAATTGTAGGCCAATTAGCCTCATTTCATCTGCTGCAAACTCATGGAAAAAATAATCAAGCGAAAGCTAATGCGCTTCCTAGAGCAGCATAATTTATTATCTAATGCGCAGCATGGGTTTCGTAGTGGCAGGTCTTGCGTGACTAACTTGCTCAACTGTTTGGAACGATGGACTCGGTCAGTTTATGAAGGCAATGCACTGCATGTAGTCTATGTCGACCTTAAAAAGGCATTTGACAGTGTCCCACATCAGCGACTCCTCCACAAACTTAGCCCAACAGGCGTTAGGGGTAACCTCTTAAAATGGATTCAAAGATTTCTATTTGTCCATTTTCAACGCCATTCCGACTGCGTATTCTGTGCTGCGTTTTTGCTACAACCGGAGAGTTAGGCGAAACACGTAGACAGATTGCGACATAACATTTTCCTCCTACCTACATATAAGTTTGTGTTTTACTTTTGGTTAGGTAAGAGGACATGTTACCAACGTGCAAAATATTTTACATGTCGAGTTCCTGCGGCAGGAAATTGGGCGTGGTTCATAGTCAGGTTCCCGTGAGGACTGACCGAGACGGTAAACGGTTTTGTATTCTATCGAACGCTTAAAGTGGGCTACTTACAGCATAATCAGGCTAGAAGCGATGTCGAAGAGCCGTATGCACTAAATTTAGAATAAACATGAAATTACAGACTTCTGAAAGCCTAAATCACCCTCTCAGCTGGTTCTATGTGTACATTGTCAATGACTGCATTGTTATGCAGAATTGATATCAACATGACATTGTCTGGTTTCCTGAATGGAATGTCATGACGATTTTATACACTTTTCTCTTGTCAATAGCAAGTTTGAATAACGCTTTTAAAAGAAGCTAAAGAATACGTAAAGTCAAGGCGGCTAGAAGAGTCAATTCAGCAACTGGCGCTACGACCGCATAGGTAAACAATTATATTTAGTAACATGGTAAGTCGGAATTAATTTATTTGTATCGCTGACAGCTACAAACCAGTAAGCCTGGAATTGATATTGCATTGCCTTTATTACTTGACGGCATTACTTCAAAGCGGCTGCTTAGTTTCACCTTAGACAGTAATCACATTCAACTGTACTAAATCTTTGTCACGGGACCATGTTATTTTCTGATGATTAAAAGAAATGTTAACATCAATGAATGCTCATTCTGGTGCTAGGTTTTGCTTTTGAAATTCGGACGCGTCTGATAATTTGTATGGCAAAGAGTAATTGACGTGCGGAGAGACCGAGACCTGTGACTAGACTGCCTATGCGGAGAGCGTATGGTCAGTGCTCTGCGAGGTTGAACTACAAAGGTAACAAGCGTCATTTTATAGAGGGTTCAAAGTAAACTTATTGCCCTGTAATCGATCTGATCGTCTCGTAAACGATTCCACTAAGCTAAAACCAACGTAAGTGTATTCCGAGGACTCTGCGAACACTAGCCCTACTCGCAAACTACGCTGTAATGCCAGAAGGAAATTGACTTGCCACAAACCCAGCTCCCCTGCCAGACAACTGTAGAAACGCATATAGGCAATTTGCACAGGACATTTCATTCACGCATGGCCATACATGAACAATCATGCATATTCCAAAATTTGATATGATGTGCCACCCGTGCTCTGTGAAAATCTGAGTGTTTGGACTAAATTGGAGTTGTGACAATTCCTAACAAATAATTCGAAGGATGCTTAATCTTGTTTAAATCGAATATCATATTCAAATAGATAATGAAGTAATATGAACCAAGAATCGGTCATATGGCAATGCCACCGACATTATAGGATAATAAGACCAACCCGTAATACTGTTTGTTGTTGCGTTAAATTCTGACAACAATACATTTAGGATTAAATTCAATGATAAAACTAAGCTTACAGTTGCAATACATGACGCAATAGGTTAAAATTTTATGTTAGATTTGATGTTGTTTTTGGGTTGAGTACCACTTGTGGAACCTAAATTAAGGCCACCTATGCTTTCTGGGAATGTCACTTTCCTTCTTCCCTGACAACCACAATATAGTCTTTAGTCTCCCAAAATGTGTGTGCGCTAGCTCATACATTGTTAAAAATATTCGCCCATTTTGCAATAAGATTATTTTCATAAAACCTAAATGCATTTCGCAAACGGCAGATTAGATGAAGTGTGTGTCTGTTACAGCCTCCTTCCTTCTGAATGTGCAAAACAAGTATTTTAAGAAGACTACGTGTCAACGCCAATTTATTTCTTCTGTTATCATCTCATCTTCTCTCAGTAAAAAATGACCTGAAGTAGCATGGATTTAAAATGCACAAAATAACCGATTGGCTGTCTAATACAGCATTGAATTTGGTCAAGAGTTCAGCGACATGTAGAGCAGAAACGTATTTCTGGGTTGTCTGTCATATGAACCGTGAAGACTAGGGACGTTTTCTGGCGACCGGAGTTTTTTAAGAGATGCAAACCTGAGTGACATGCTGAGTTGACTTGGGTGTTGGTAGGCCTGTCCACGGTCGGCGTAGACTACTACGGTGTAGTGTTGAACTGTCGTCGTCTTTTAGCGCGGATTCTTGCCACTACAATCCCGACGATGTCAAGATTACCTCCGCTCTCGGTATCTGTCCAAGGTGTCTTCTATATTTTCGGCGCTGGCATGTTCGCACCTCAAACTGTTTATCACCAGCCACTTACAGGAACCTCTTTACAGACAACGGCAGTGGACGATTGTTGATCCTCACTCACATCAACTGCCTCTCCCAAATTACGCTGACTGACGCGAAATGTTCATGTATCTATGTCAAAAAGATGCGTCAAAGTTGAAACTGCGGACAGCATTTAAGGATCATTTGCTATTTAGCTTGTTACATATTGCCGTGGCCGAAACTGAATTTTCAGATTTGACATGGCGTATGTGACTGGAAACGGATTCGCATTATTGAGGAAACACTTGCATCTCATCCAGTATATTGACTTAAATTGTTGTCACACCCGCATGAGTATTTGTCACTGAGCGTTCATGACAAATTTTAGCAGGTGAATGTTGTGCTTTATTAGCACCTCTTTCACAAGTGCAAGAAAGCTGTAAACGCGAGAAGTAGCAGTCACTCTCAGTTTAATTTGGATTCCTGGGCGTTAAGTTAGTGACATTACTTCAAGCCACGCATACACTCAAATTGATGAAGATAGCGGTATACGACGTTGGAAAGTATGTTGTCCGACATGGCCCGTGGCTCAATGGTAGAGCGTTCAACTCCATGACCAAAGATCCCGGGTTCGAATCTCAAGTGATCCACACTTGGGGTTGGGTATGACTGGCTGATGACGGCTAATAAGCCAGAAATGGCCATTCCGGTCTCCCTTGTCTTTGTCGGTATCATCTTCTTAACATAACCATATCTATTTGCAGCTCTTGGTGTAAAACCACATCAGCTGACATGTTAGTAATATGATAAAAGGAGCATTATTCCTCACGGCTAAACAATAAAGCCGTTTATTCATACTAGGAAAACTGTTCCAAAATGAGTCCATTGTTCACATGAAGAACACGTTTGTTTATCTTCATTGAAAAATACCCAGTTGTACAGGCTCCTCAGTTTTTATCTGTCGATAATTCCTGCTGGCACTCTATGGACTTGGCATTTACCATCTCGTGTTGCAGAAGGTCGTTTAAGTCACTGTTAGGAATGCTTAGCATCTTTGATTAGTAGGGGTTGACGCGTTCATATGAACTTTCAGAAGAATTTGTGTATACACTGCAGAGGTTCAGAGAGCAAATTCCAATCACATTTGGCGGACTGTTATCCACTTTCCAGTAAGTTAAATCAACAATTGCCTTCAGTGCTAAATTGTGTAACATGAATGTGAAATATCCGACGCCATTTGGTGGATCTTTTCGCATTTCTGTTTGTAATGTCTGTTGTTTGGTTTTGTATATAAGGTCTTTACAAAACGCTTTTACGTTTGGTGGCTTGCCGTTCCTACAGTACATGGAAACAGCAAATACGTTACTAACAAATGGCTTCATGATACGACCTAGAATGGGCCACAGTTCAGCCCTCGTCTTGCGGTAAGGAGGCAAACCATCTGACAGTTCGACCATCGGTTTCGATGATGTTCACCGTGTGCCCCACAGTTGCAGCACCCATGGGAGCAGCGACGGTGACTTACGCAGGGGTTTTTAGTGCCGGTTGACTTGCGTAGCATCTACCTACACTCTCTCCTCCCTCGACCTAGCCCGGTGTCAAGACAGAGTCAAGAAGACCGGAGACGAGGGAGGCCGCAGGTGGATGGCTCGGACGGATCCTCACCTTGGCGTCCACCACACCCCCTGGTCCACACAACAAATGACCAGGATTTCAACCAACACAACAGAGACTTGGAGGCTGGCACGGCCGAAGCCGCACCTGGGCGTGCCGCCAACACCTGGCTCGGATCCCACACTGTGATGGGAGTGTCATAAAGGCCACATTAAAAAGGAGCCATAGCAGCCTGAATCTCAGACCGCCTACAGTCAAGGAGGATGTCCAAGTTACCCCGTCAGTTTACAACCTTCCAAGCCACGGCTTTTAGCACTCCGTGATAGCTTCAAGCGCGTCAGATTGTTTATAGTGAGAGGGAAGTGCACTGAGTCGACGTCCTCACTCTCCCTTCCCACTCCCACACCCCAGCCGCTGTCCGAGCCGGTCAGCAGACTGGAATGGGGAGTGGGCGCGGTGGCTGTCATGGTCGACTGACCATAACTGCGCGCGCCACGGCACGACCTGGACCCCCATACCCATAACACCAGGATTTCACACATCGGGGGTTGAACGGCGTGTCTCTCACTTGCGTGAGAGTGCCGCCGAAGGTGCTGTTTCAGCCCGTTTCCAGCCCACCGCTCCGCCACTCCACACAACACACACACAACGCGACGAAATGCGTGAACCGAGACCGGGCGTCAATAAGCAAACTTCCTATCCACGACGCTTGACGTTTCGGGATAATCTCAGACTCGAGTCGTTCGCACAGCCGGAGCCGCATGGGGACCGAGTCGAGATGTGGACTGCCCACTTGCGTGGGAGGTGACAGTTGGATGCATGATGTGTGTGACTGTTGATTTCTGGTGGGGTGATGATGGTGGTGGTGGTGGAGGGGGTACGGAGTGAGTGAATGTGTGGTGTGACCGGCGGTTGTCTACCGAAGGCCGTCGTGGATGCGCATGTGGCGGAATAGGCCCATGCGATGCGTGAATGTGAGAGGGCAGTGTGGGGAGTTGAGAAGAGCTTGGTGGGTATAGGTGGGTGCTCCAGGCACTGGTTCGCCAGTCTCTGACCGACCAGGCCGATGCGCGAGGTGAATGTGCGTGGACAGTGTGGGCATGAGAAGTCGGCGGTGTCAGTGTCAGCCACAGAGGAGGCGGTGGTGGTGCAGACGGATGGAGCGAGGGCGGGGGTGTGCACGGTTGATGTGTTGGATGTGGTGGGTGTGTCGAGAGTGCGGTGAAGGCCGCTCTTGTGGATGCGCATGTGGCCGAAAAGGCCCATGCGAAGCCTGAAGGTTCGAGGGCAGTGTGGGCAGTGGAGGCGAGTGCGGCGGGTGAAGGTTGGTGCTTCAGGCAGCGGTTCGTCAGTCTCTGTGCGATGGATTCGCAAGTGACCGACCAGGCCGATGTGTTAGGTGAAGGTGCGGTCACAGTGAGGGCAGGTTTAGTCCAGATCCTCATCGCTAGATTTGAAGCAGGTGGTGATAGTGTCGGCTGTTGCGCGCGGCACAGTCGCCTGAGCGGCCGTCGTTGGAGCAGTGGGCGAGGAGGAGGAGGAGGAGGAGGAGATGGCGTGGAAGGAAGTGGTGGGTCAGAAGAATTTTTAGAGATAGTTGGCGTCAGAGTGGAGGAGGAGGAAGAGGCGGGCGGGGGTACGATGGTTGGTGCAGTTCGAGAGGCGCAGTTAATCCGAAGATGTCCAAAAAGTCAGATTCGAGCCCGGAATGTCCGTCGACATCGAGGACACGTTGGAAGCGGTTGTGCGGCGGCGTTGCGTACTGGGCTTAGTTGTGATTTGCGGGCCTTCCGTTTCGCTTTGGCGGCAGCGATGCGGTTGGCTTCGTAGATCGCAGCGCCTTTCTTCACTGTCCTCCTCCAGGTCAGTCGATCGAGTGCTAGCTCCTTCCAGTTGCTGGGGTTGATTTGCAGGCGTTTCAGGGAGGACTTCAGGGTATCCCTGCAACGGCGAATCCGGCCTCCTGGACGGCGAGAACCCGGCGCGACGTCTCCGTAGAAGAGTCGTTTGGGTAGTCGCTCGTCGTCCATTCGCACCAAGTGGCCGCTCCAGCGCAGCTGCAGTTGCCTTAGTATGGCGTAGATGCTGAGGATTCCCGTCTGTTCCAGCACATCAGTGTCGGAGATTCGATCGCGCAAGTTCAGCCTCAGGATGCGACGAAGACAATTGAAGTGGAACTGATTCAGACTGCGTGCCTGCTTTGCGTACACCGTCCAAGTCTCCGCTCCATACAGTAGTGTCGGCAGGATGACGGCCCCGTAAATCTTCAGCTTCGTGCTCAGTTGGAGACCATGACGATTCCAAACTGTGCTTTGGAGGTGACCGAAGACTTGACTGGCTTTTAAAATCCTGTTGGCGATGCTTACCCCTTTGAGTTTCTCCAGGAATTGTGCTGACGTAGAGACCGTGGTGTGTGACCCAGCGGTCACGAACTTGAGACGACCGAAGAGTCACTTAGCCAGTCCGTACTTTGGTGTCCCTGTGCCGAAGCGCCATACTATCTTGCCTTTTGCTATCTGTTCTTCATTCGTGAACTTACTGTTTGTTGAAATGAATGGACGGAACACAAATCAACGCGACGCGCTTGCCACGAGTTGGATTGTCAGGTCGTTTGACATTTGATTGTTAATTCTTTCATAAATCTGGTCTTATCCTGATATTCATATTCTGGGCATGACGAGCCTGTCTTTAGCGCTCTCTACAGTTGTGACCCTTTAACGTTCGCGCTTATACCTTGGATTTTTTGACTTTCTATTTGCATACCGTCCGTTTGCCTTTATTCAATCTACGATCATGACCTCTACGAATTCCAACGATCCCACTACTTTTCTCAGTGGACTTGTTTCTTTTCTCCCAGACTTTTGGCAACGTGCGCCAGAGCTTTATTTTTTCCGCATTGAGGCGACTTGTCACTCTGCCAAGATAGCACGTGAAACCGACAAGTATTATAAGTTGGTCGAGGCACTTCTTCCCACCATTGTTTCTTAAGTGCAGACGCATCTGAGAGATCCCCCGACTGATGCTCCCTACACCAAGTTAAAGGCTGTGGGCTGGCCATCAACCTCCTGGGAATTCTGGCGTAGCAGGTCACTGAACGTCTCAACCGTAAGGACCTGTAGGATGGACGTGAAGAGTGAGAGGACGTCCAATGACACCATCCACTTATTCCGTTCGATCGTGACTGCCCTTATTTTTTCGAGGAATTTTCGTCGCCCAGGGTCTCATAGAATTCATGGGGCACTGCCTTAAGAGATTTTTTACTTTCGAGGGGATCACTAATCAGCAAATTAAGGGCACTCCGATGGGTTCAACGATATCCGGAATCATTGCCATGATGGTTCTGCTAAAACTAGAGAAACGACTGTTCGATTAATAAAAACCCAGGTTTTGGGCGCGCAACGGTGATGATACCTTCGTAATCATCAATCAAGATAAAATTAACTGCTATGAAGAGCTGCTGAACTCAATCATTCATGACCTACAGTTGGAGATTAAAAAAGGACTGGAGAGCAAACTTCCATATTTGGATGTTCTTGTTTGCCGTCAACCAGACGGCAAACTGGCGACGCCAGTCTACACAAAACCGACGAACTCGCTGCAAATGATCAGTTACAACAGCAACCACCCACTGCAACACAAACGAAACTGTATACGCACGCTAGACCGACGAGCTGAAACTTTTTTCAGCACTCCAGTCGCCAAACTGGACGAGATGAACCTCCTCCAAGAACTATTCAGAGCCAACGGCTATCCGCAAACATTCGTTGAACGGAGCCGAAAGCAACCAATGAAACGGAATGAAGAACGCAGTCAGCAGAAATCGTGGCGGAGCATTCCATATGTGAAAGGGGTCTCCGACGCCGCATCCAGATCCCTCGCGCCGCTGGGGATAGGCGTTGCCCACAGGCCAGACTCAACAATCCGCCGGCAAGTGATGCGGTCAAAAAACACGATCCCTTAGCAGATGTCGGCTGTTGTCTACCGACTTCAGTGCAGCTGCGGAATGTGCAACTACGTTGGAGAAACCGGCCGGCGGCTGCAAACGCGCATGCACGAGCATAAGTTGGTCGTGCGAAGTTTGGACCCTTGCCGCCCAAATGGGACACGTCTTCAACTTTGACGCCGTTGAAAATGTTGGCCGCTGGGATGATCATACGGCAAGGCAGGTGCAAGAAGCCTGAACGTCTACCGACTGGTTTGTCAACCGCCTCATCAATTTGCCTCCTCCTTTCTGGTTTTACTGACATTCTTGACGGGGGACAGTCACGACGCGGGAAAATCGGGACCGTCAATTATTGCCGCAACCAACGAAGAATGGCGGTATTCAGGTCACGGTGACATGCGGGTCGAATGCAGCTACAGAGGCGGTATTGGCGGGCCAAGAATCAAACAATGTGCGCTATATAAGGAAAGCTGTGTGCAAGACTTTTCACTCTCTGAAGATGGGCAGAAGAAACGTCTACTCGAAACGTCAGACATTCAATACACTTCTCCCAGTGAACGCCTCTTTTTCGGTTGCTTACAATATTGCTCAGAGCATTAAAGGTTAGCTGTACCTAGTTCGAATGCAGCCATAGAGAGTACCTGAGTGCTCATAGGGAAGCCCACATGACGGTTCAATTGCGGTACCCGACAGTAGATGGGCGAACTTTTGAAATCTCGACCGAAATTCCGACATGCGTTTTCGTCTCCAATAAAGCTGATTAATAAGTTGTGTAAAACTAATTATCATGCAACATATTTCCATAATAATTCAGTAACTTCTGGATGCCCCTACACGTTCATACAGTGTCTCCAAACCAAAAGCCGTATATTTTCCGCATGTGAATAACCATATATTTCTCAAGGGTATTAGGAGGAGGCATATGTAGTTCATAAAAATTATTTTATCAAGGCGGCTGTTTAAATGAGATCTTGCAGCTATGCATTAGATGAAGAGCATAATCTGCACAGGACATCGTTGTGAGTAATCAGCGTCTCGGATAACAATAGCTTACTGCCAATTTTCAAGTTATGGTGTATAAGAAAAAACAGCCAAAAATAATACCTTCAGCGTCCCTTTATAAAGATAAACATCTCACTGGAACAGACTTTTAATATCGATTGGGACTCGAAGAACCTACTTGATATTTTATACTCAGTAATACAGGTAATCTGTTTCGCCTGAAAACTGCTTACTATCATAATATCATATACGAATCGTTTATTATGTCAAGATGATGCTAGTACAGACAACTGCTCTCATGATCGACCTCAATTAAACATCAGTGAAATATATTACTTCGCCTCCTGCCTCATTATAGGAGAATTCTCTTTGGTTACGAAGAAGGGCCCATGTGGAAAAATACCATTAAACATGCATCCCATGTCGATACGACTGGTAGATAACTCACCGTTCAATGCCCGCATCAATTATCAAGGCACAACTTATAGTCTTGTGTCATCGAGGGCTAATTTGCCACAGAAAAACCGGAGTTTATTATCTTCATATAGAGGCTCTTACGATTGCAAAGCAACAATCCTATCCTAATGTTGACAACCAATCAATTAAAGCAATCATATATTCGCAAAACAATGTTTTCAAACACGTTATTAGTGTCTATCATTTACAAATTGTATAGACGCATATATGCTTTCAAGGGTATTAGTATTATATTTCCTGGATAGTTTGATGAGAGATTACTGAATAGGTCATATAGGCAAATGTAAACATAGGCCTTTTATTCACGGGGCAAGCACATTTGGACTTCTTCAGTTTTTACTATTGCTGGCTGAGTCTTTGACGTCATTTGACATTTTATTATGAATCGCTATTAACCGTATTTTCTTCGTTTTCAACATTCATACCTTGAAAAACAGTTGCTACGTCTTAAATTTTGAACATGTATCCAAGGCAGGACTCCAAAAACTACTACAATAATGTTATAATTGTTAATTTGAAATGTGTACGTTCCTAAAAATGCATTTGTAGAAAAATCATGTTTATGAAAAGTATAAGCGTTGGCCATCAAGGATCTTTCTTTACTGGATCAGTGAAATGAAACAGTGTCCTCAGGATCGGATAGATTCTGCCGACGAGGACGCATCGTAGTGAACCGGACTGGCAGTTTAACAGATTCTGGCGGACAAAAACGCCTAACCTGTTTCATATCTATTGGAGTTCGGAGTTGATTTTTGAGTGCAGGAACCAAATGATGTCATTGGCTCTCTTTGCATTTAAAGGTAGATACAATATAAAAAGGCACGAGGCACAGTACATATCTCCTAAAAACGGATACATTATTAATTTCAGCCATTTGGCTGAAACTTTAAGCTGCAGGCCCGTCTTTTTAAAGACTGTTTGAAGATTCATTATGCAACGGAACTGAAAATCTATCACAAATTTTAAACAGGCGCGATGATACAGTACTGTGCTTTTAAGGCACATAGGCTGTGTAGCACCGCCCTATAAATAAGCAATACTTTTTGAAATTTCAGTTAACATTTTAGGATTATGTTGGGAGTGCCTAAAGTCGTTGCTTATAGTAATTCTAGACAGAAGCTTGCAGCCAGCCCAAAAGTTTGCTGGATTAGCAGATTTGAGACACAAATTTATAAACGATTTTGTATGTTGCCATTAGACGACGTGAGATGAGAATTGAGATTGACATTATATTTTGAATGCTCTCTCACCGATTTTGTGTCTTAGCATTAGAAGACTAGAGATGGGAATTGCGATTGATATTATATTACCAAGGGTTTATTTTAAATATTCCTGAATTGCAGGTGGTTAGTGTGCGCACACGACTAAACAGTTGTGTTTTTACAAACATTAATAATCGACATTCATTTGGACAGCGGATGGTATGTTTCACATTACGACTTTTTTACCCAGAAAAGATTATAGCTACACATTTCGGCAACGATTACTAGTCCCCCAAAATAATGACGACAACAAACTGACTAATAGAAGCAAAAAGGCGACTCCTAGGAAGCAGTCTTTAGGAAGGAGACACGATCGGTGGAACAAGAGCTTTATAAGCCTGACGTTTCGGATTCCCGCTCAAACCCACCATCAGAGACAAAGCAGACACGAGTTGTTCATGCATGAGGGGCTGCCGTATTTATAGGATGCGGTAGCCATGCCATCGCATACCTAGGAATGTTCACGGCTCCCACCTTCATCAGGGATCGTTGCACGTGGTGTGATGGCCGACATTTGCGTCGTTAATTGCTGCAATTTCATCACGTGCGTTGGATGTTGGTGTGATGATTGCTCGACCATCTAACGCTCTGACCCTGGTGTTATGAAAAGTGTTCACCATTGCGTTCCCCGCGTGGCCAATTACTCCGCCCAGGCAAAGTTACAGCAGAGAGTATGAAATGGAAAGTTGACTGCACTTGTTAATTGACTGGGGGCCAGTAAACCATGACTCAAGCAGCTTCCAGCTCACGCAGCTGTCACCTCGTTAAATTTAAATGTATGGCCAGATCTCGTCGAATGAGACGCAACTTGA